CTTTGAAAGTATAACCTTCGAGGTAAATCATTTTGTGGTGCTTTTGACACACTTTGGAATATTCTAGATCTGTTTACATTTACGATCTGATTTATGTCGCGCCAACTTGGAGTCATAAACTTGAAAACACTAGCCTAGTGTTTTCAAGTTTACCCGCGCATGCGTTCCATTGACAGTGTCCCTTTAAAGACTAAAGGAAACTATCATGCCTATCTTACATAACAATTGTGTCAGACCTTATATTTAATCCTGTAGAGCTCATTTAGGCTAGCTAGGTAATAGAGCGCTATGTTATAATGTGCTAAGAGCTTTTAAAGAGATCATTAATTGTGTGCATAATGTCTAGACATATTAATCTGTCAATCTCAATTATACCAGGTTTATATGCAATATACCATACAGTTTTTATGGAAGATGTGTTGGAATAAACATTTAAAGAGTCTAAAAATTGTGAATTAGGTGTTAAGGACATAAGGTGTCACCACCTCATTTACAAGATGGTATAAGACTTTTAAATATTAAGGACAAACACATCATCAGCTATTTTTCAAGAACATTTTAAGTAAAAGTATCATGAGGATGGGAATTACAATAACTACTGCAGTTTTTATTCATTAAGGATTTATGTCCCAAAAATGAAAGTTAACTGATAACCATATTTTGTCTATCTGTGGGACTATATCTCTATGGCATACACCTAATTGAAGAAACGTTGTCGGGTCCAAAAAGGTCAAATCATAGAAGCTAAGACCGAAAGGGTGCTTGGGAAGACAAACAATTTGGCTAATTTCATAACAAACAGCTCTCCAGCATAAAAGACTATCATGCTGTTAATCTTACTAGCTCTACTTGCTTAGTGTACACCGTATATGCAAATGTAATCCCAATTTAGTGGTACTCAAAATCCCTTTCGATCTTAGCTTCTATGATGTGACCTTTTCGAACACGACTACTTTTTTTCAATTAGGTGTATGTGGCTCAACATAATATTATAAGGGTACTGTATAATATTGTAACATAATATATTCTTCTAACTGCAATTGATATAGRATAAAGGAAGAAGACAGCTAATGTTTCATAAAACCATACTAAAATCTAAAATACTAAATCCTGATGATTATATAAAAGGAGATATTTTTGTCAAGAC